CCTCAAATTAAAGTTACAGTTTTAACAATATACAAAATGTTACAGTAATTCAGATTTTTTGGCATAATGACTACAGATTTGATAAATACATTTTATATCTCATAATAGCAATGAAGATTATACAAAAACTATTAAAACAATTATGAGAATAAATTCAATTGTCACTTAAATATCTAAAGCTATTTTCCTTTGCGTTCTTCCAGAATGATTTGTTCTTATTCTTTACCTTAATTTGAGGATAAAATTTTTTTTAAAAATAAAAAAAGACTGGCTCTTCAGCTGGCCAGTGTCTATGTGCCTTGGATCAACTATTCTAATTGGAAAAGACTGGCACCCCTTCTATAAACAGAAGTTTCAAACTAATGGACTTTGGATGCATCCAACCTGCAGAAATATTTCCTTGGTTCATACAGTGATTTAAAAAATAGATGAGCCAGGCATGGTAGCGCACACCTTTAGTCCCAGTACTCAGGCAGCGGAGGCAGTCAGATCTCTCTGAGTTCAAGGTCAGCGTGGTCTATCTACATAGTGAGTTCCAGGCCAGCTGGGGCTATAGGGAAATCCTGTCTCAAAAAGACCAAAGAGGGGGGAAAAAAAAAAGATGAATAATTGTTCACTATAAATTCTAGGCCTGGCCTTGAAATCTTTCTGCTTCAACTTCCAAAGTTCTACTGGGATTATAGGCATACCCACCATACCCAGCCCAATATTTTAGAATTGGGAAGTTTCATGTTAATATCTGCCTTGCTTGACAAGGGAGAGGATCTGATTATACTGATCCCTGGTGACAACAGGCCAAATAGCAGTTGTACCTTTTAGAGAAAGCTTCGGAATCCCAGTTTACTCTTGTCCCCACCACTCCACATCTAACACTGGGCCATCCTTCCCCATTTGTATTACTTCCTAACACCTATGGGCTTTTCCGTTGTATCCTTGATGAGAGGTGTGTCAGCTCCCAGGAATCAGGAGGTGAGAAACAAGTTGACATGCCTTTTCTTGCCTTAGACTTCTGGGAGTACTACCTCCCCTATCTCTACTCCTGCATCTCCTTCCTCGGAGTCCTGCTGCTCCTGGGTGAGTTTGCAAATCTGGGAGGGAATGAAATGATTGCATCCTGGGACTAGAGGAACCAGAGTGGAGGAGGACTAGGGGTAGGGCCAGAGAGGGACGAAGGATCTGGCAGGTAGCTGACTGGCTTTTATCCCTACAGTGTGTACTCCACTAGGTCTTGCTCGCATGTTCTCGGTCACTGGGAAGCTGCTGGTCAAGCCCCGGGTATGTAGTGCTCTTTGCCCCTTGTGCGCAGGGCGAGTTTCCTGTATAGCTTGAGGCCAAACTATGAAACAAACCTGTGATTGTATCCTGCACAACTTGTAAAGGGCCCTTTTCTTGATTGGCTCCTGTACCCTTTACCACTATCATCAAGCTGGTCACCAGATGTGCAAGGCAGAACACAAATAATTGGGATAGGCCAAAGCTGCTGGCCACAGGGTGGAGAACAAGAGTTAGAGGGTGGACTGAGACTGTAGGGAGCCATTTGGATCAGGAAGCCTCTGAGAGTCCCTTTCTTCCCCTGGTGGCAGCTTCTAGAAGACCTAGAGGAACAGCTGAATTGCTCAGCTTTTGAGGAGGCAGCTCTGACTCGCAGGATCTGCAGTGAGTTTAAGTCCTTTCCTGCTGGGGTGGTGGACTGGTCTTGGCAGGGACTAAAGTACTGAAGGGCTGGTAGAACTAACTCTTTCACCCACCTCTCAGATCCCGCCTCCTGCTGGCTGCCTTTAGACATGGAGCTACTGCGCAGACAGGTTCTGGCTCTGCAGACACAGAGGGTCCTCTTGGGTATGAGTAATAGGGCTTGGGATATCTGAGTTTCCCCAAGGAGAGTAGCTCCTTGTTGCAAGTACTTGCTAATAACCACCTCCCATCCCTGCAGAGAAGCGGTGGAAGGCTTCAGCCTGGCAGCGGAACCTGGGCTACCCTCTGGCCATGCTGTGCTTGCTGGTGCTGACGGTGGGTTTACTAGCATTTGTGGGGGTGAGGAGTGGGGAAAGAGGTGTGCATTGACATGGTTGTCATCCATATTAGTAATTGCCTCTCATGGAGGCAAACAGAGTGCTTACTTTGTGTCCAGCTCTGTGCTAAGAACATCAGTCCCCATTTTGTGGGTGAAGAAATAGAAGTGACTTGCTCAAAGTTACACAGAGCCTTTGAGTAGGTACACAAATTTGCCATGGAATGAGAATAAATGTTGAAATCCAGTGTTTCTCCGTGTCCTAGATTAGGACCTCAGAAGTGAATCTTACAATCAGAAGGAAAGGCACCTTTTTCTAGGCAATTTTCCTTTCCTACTTGTGTGTATATGTGTGGTGGGGGGTACTAGGGATTGACCCAGGGCTTTGCACACAGTGGGTAAGCGCTCTACTACCAAGTTACACCCCAGGTATATTTAGTATTTTCGCAGTCCATCCATTTGGAAGCAGTTCATCTAGTAATATCCTCAGAGGTGCTATATTGCCAGCAACAGCCTTGAGGAGGTTCCCTGCAGCTAGCAGGGGCTTGGAACAAAACCAGGCTTGCAGACTGAAAATGTTGGACTGGAGTCAAAGCTCTTAATATTGAATTGATATAGCTGTGGGCAGAGCAGGCATGGTACTTTGTGACTTTGCTGCACACAGGGCCTGTCTGTGCTCATTGTGGCCATCCATATTCTGGAGCTGCTCATCGATGAGACTGCCATGCCAAGGGGCATGCAGGTACTGGGCTTTCCTCCCATCATATCATTTGGGGAGGGTATAATTAAAAGCTTGGGATGCGGGATGCTAGGTGTAGTGTCTCATACTGTAACCCCAGCACATGAGAGGCTGAAGCAGGTGGATTGCAGTAAATTTGAGGGCAGCTTGGGCTACATGGTGAGAGTTAGTTCTACCAGTTTCTGCTACGGAATGGAACTCTTAGAGTCTCAAAATAATGATGATGACGATGATGATGGCTGAGGAGAGACAGAAGCTGAGGACAGAGGGAAGGTGTGCTGGGTGCTGATGGTGTTCATGATGGAAGTGTCCCTCAATGATTTGATCCCACCCCACAGGATGCCTCCCTGGGCCAGGTCTCCTTCTCCATACTGGGATCCTTTGGTGCCATCATCCAGGTTGTACTAATCTTGTATCCTTCTGGAAATTCATCATGGCCTCTGCTCACCAAACCTTTCTCCTGGACTCTGACCAGCACTCCCTAGGAACTCTGGGGAAGAGTAAATAGGGAAGTGGGCAAGTGTTCATCAACCTTGAGTTCAGAAAGAAGAAAACTAGTATTTTTTATTTTTATTTTATGTGTACGAGTGTATTGCTTACATGTATGTGAGTGCACCTGTGTCATGCAGTGCTGTGGAGATCAGAAGAGAGCTTCGGATTCCCCTGGAACTGGAGTTAAGGACGGTTTGTAGCCACCATGTGGGTGCTGGGAATCGAACCCGTGTCCTCTGCAAGAGCAGTCTGTGCTCTTAACTGCTGAGCCATCTCTCCAGCCCCAGAAGAAGACATTTAGTCTTGAGGACTGGGGAAATGGTTCAGTTGGTGAAGTGCTTGCCGTGCAAGCATGAAGACATTAGTTCAGATTCCAGCACCTGTATAAAAACAAGATATAACAGTATGTACCTATTATCCCACTGTTGGGGAGGCAGAGACAGGAGGATCCTAGTGGCTTGTTCAAAAGTCAGTCTAGCTAAGTTGGCAAGTTCCGGGATCAGTGAGAAGCCCTGTCAAAAAATAAAGTAGAGGGCTTGTAAGATGGTCCAGTGAAAGTTGAGAGATGGCCCAGTGGTTAGAAGCACTGGCAGCTCTTGCAGAGGACTGCAGTTGCTTTATTCTATGTATATGAGTGTTTTGCCTACATGTATGTAAGTGTACTGTGTGTGCAGTGCCCATGGAGTACAGAAGAGGGCATTGGATCCCCTGGAACTGCAGTTAGGGACAGCTGTTAGCTACCATGTGAGTGCTGGAAACCTGGGTCCTATGGAAGAGCAGCCAATGCTCTTAAGAGCTGAGCCTTCTCTCCAGCGCCCCTGCAGTTTGATTCTGATTTCCAAGAACCACATCAAGTAGCTTACAACCACCTGTAATTCCAATTCTAGGGGACCTGATATTTTTCTAGTCTCTGCAGGCACCCACAGCTCACATGCACATACCCACACACAGACAAAAAAAAATCTTTTTTATTAAAGTTCAAAGTGGTTCAGTAGGTTGAAGTGCTTGCTGTGCAAGCCTGACAGCCTGAGATCAGTCCCGGGGAACCCACAGTGGAAGGAGAGAACTGACCCCCAGAATTGTCTCGTGACCTCTACACATGTTCTGTGCACACATACACACAATATAATAGTAAAGTTAATGATGTGTAAAAGGACAGAGCAAGACACCCAGCATTGACCTGTGACCTCTGCATGCTTATGTGCACACACCTGCTTGCACATGCACATACCACACAAATATTTGACCTTGAAGGGAGGTCTGGAGGAGATGAGGCATTCATCAGTCCTTGGAAGCTGGCCAGTTCTTCCCTAACCCAGTACAGTTACCTGATGGTGTCCTCTGTCGTGGGTTTCTACAGCTCTCCCCTCTTCCGAAGCTTGAGGCCTAGATGGCACGACACAGCCATGACACAGGTAACTGGGAGGGAAAGGGGGAAGCCTACCAGGGAAACAGTACTTACTGGCATCTCTGATGTCTTTGCCTCTCCTTTCTTCTACCCAGATAATAGGGAACTGTGTCTGTCTCCTGATTCTGAGTTCAGCACTTCCTGTCTTCTCTAGAACCCTTGGTAAGTAGCGAAAGGAGGAAAGGGAATTGGCTTATTTTTGTTTTCTTTTTAAAATGGGGTTTAAAGGCCAGCCTGGGCTTCTTAGAGAGCTTCATGGGACTCTGTAACAAACAAAGCTACCAAGGTCTTACTAGTCCTCCTGCCTCAGCCTCCACAATGGTAGGATTTCAAGTGGTACAACACCATACTCTGCTGGAAATTTTTTTTTTTTAAGATAGGGCCACACTATGTAGCTCTGGCTAGAACTTGCTATGTAGAACAGGCTGGCCTTGAACTCAGAGATCTGCCTGCCTTGACTCCCCAGTGATGGAATTAAAGGTATGTGCCACCATGCCCAGCTTGAAATTAACTTTTTCTGAGTATGTGCCTGAAAAGTACTCAAGGGCCAACGAGATGACTCATTAGGTAAAGTCCCTTGCCACCAAGCCTGATGACTAAAGTTCAATCCCTGGAACCCACATGGTGGAAGGAGAGAATCAGGTCCTTCAAGTTGTCCTTTGACCTCTGCACATGCACATTCACACACGCAAAATAATGTAAAAAGAAGATCTCAAGCACTTCTATATGCTGTTTCCACAGAATATTGTACAAATGGGGAAAATTCGGCTCCATAAAGGGCCCGTTCCAAGCTTCAGTGTAGTGCTGCTTCAAGCTCATGCTTTGTTAAAAAAAAGACTTTATTATAAGCTTCAGTGTAGTGCTGCTTCAAGCTCATGCTTTGTTAAAAAAAGACTTTATTACTTTTATGTGTATGGGCGTATTGCCTGCATGTATGTACGTGCACTCATGTCGTACATTGCCCATGGAGGTCAGAAGAGGGCATTGGATTCCCCTGGAACTGGAGTTATGGATGGCTGTTAGCCAGCATGTGAGTGCTGGAAATCAAACTCGGGTCCTTGGCAAGAGCAGCCAGTGCTCTGAACTGCTGAGTTGTCTCTCCAACCACAAACTCATACTTTTGGCCAGGTGACACCCTTTCCACCAAACCTTCCCTCTAAGTGGACCCTCTAGTAAACATTTTCAAGGCTGGAGAGATTGCTAGGTGGTTAAGAGTGCTTACTGCTCTTGTAGAGGATGGTAGTTCAGTTCCCAGCACCCAGGTCAGATGGCTTGCCACTCTGAGTTTCAGATCTCACACCCTTTTCTAGTGTCGGAGGACAACCACACTTACATGCATATACCCCCACATAGACACACACATATACATAATTGAAAAATAAGTAAATCTTTAAAGATCCTTACATTCTTATTTTTGTTCTTAAGGCTCTGGGTGTGATCTCCAGCACCCCACCCCACCCTACCCCATAAAAACAGCTAGACATAGTTGCATATACTTGTAATCCCAGCACTTGGGAGACAGAGGTAGGTGGTTTAGGAGTTCAAGGTCATCCTTGGTTACACAGCAAGTTGGGGTATGTGAGATCCTTTGTGTGGGGGGGACCTAATTGATTGATCCAGAGTTTTAAGTTAGCTGGGGGCAAGACCACATCAGACTACAACTTTTATTAACCCCAGAGCAGTGCTTTCTCTACATACTAGGGCATTAGGTAATGCCTTCAGTCCTTTGATCCAGAGTTACCTGGAAGGAAAGTTCACAAATACAGCTAGTTCACCCAGGGGAGCAGGGGGGCTACAGAGGCAGGTCACCCTCTGTGTAGTATAATGGTTGGTTTGTATTTCGTATTTCTATCTTTGCTATTTATATTGTTGTTGTTTGGTGTTTTTGTTTTGAGACAGGGCCTCACTATGCAGTATTGACTGGGCTGAAGCTCTGTGTAGACCAGGCTGGCCTCGAACCCACAGAGGTCTGCCTGTCATGCCTGGCTGCTATTTAGTTCTTAAGTTTTTGATAGGTTGTGTATCCTTTATCTGAAATACTTGAAATGAGAAATACTTCAGATATTGTATATATATATATATAGCTTTTTTTATTCTATGTGTATGAATGTATTGCCTGTATGTATGTAAGTGTACCAGTGTCATGCAATGCCCAAGAAGATTAGAAGAGAGTGTCAGATCCCCTGGAACTGGAGTTATGGACTATCGTAGCAGTCATGCTTGGTGGTGTACACTTTTAATTCCAGCACTTAGGAGGCAGAGGGAGGTGGACCTCTGTGGGTTTAAGGCCAGCATGGTCTACATAGAGCTTCAAACCAGCCAAGACCCAGCCATGTGGGTGCTGGGAATTGAACCCGGGTCCTCTGCAAGAACAGTCAGTACTCTTAACCACTGAGCCACCTTACCAACCCCTAGATTGTATTTTTTTTTTTTTGGTCTTTTTGAGACAGGGTCTCCCTGTAGCCCCAGCTGACCTGGTACTCGCTCTGTAGACCAGGCTGGCCTTGAACTCACAGATCCACCTGCCTCTGCCTCCTGAGTGCTGGGATTAAAGGCATGTGCCACCACGCCCGACTGGATTGTATATTTTTAAGGATTGAGGATATTTGCATTGATTTTATCATTTGGGCATCTCTTACCTAAAACTCTGAAACCAAAACATACCAGCAGTATTGGAGCATTTAGAGTTTGGATTTGGGTATTTCTATTTTTTATTTTATTTATTTATTTTTGGTCTTTCTCAGGCAGAATCACTCTGTAGACCCAGCTGTCCTGGAACTCAATATGTAGACCAGAGTGGCCTTGAACTCACAGAGATCCGCCTGTCTCTGCCTCCTAAGTGCTGGAATTACAGGCATGTGCCACCACACCTGGACTCAACCTATTTATTTTTGTGTGTATGAGTTTTTGCCTGCATGTCTGTAGGTGTACCAGTGTGTGCAGTGCCCACAGAAGCCAGAAGAGGATTTTGGATATCTGAGTCCTCTGGAAGAGCAGCAAGTGTTCTTAACCCTGAGTCATCTCTCTAGACCCTAATTTTTTAATTTTTAAATTACATTTATTATGGGCATATATGTGGGCATGTGTGTGCTATGATGAATGTGTGGAAGAAAGAGGACAACTTGTAGGAGGCAGTTCTACTATGTGGGGAATCACACCCAGGTCATCAGCATGGCAGCGAGTATCTTTACCCACTGAGGCGTCTTGCCAGCCCCATTTTCTCTTCTACGCCACTTGCATTTACGCCATAGGAATTTGTCAGAAAAGTAGACTTGGCCTATCAGCCAGTTCTTTGAAGATGGATTCAGGTAGGAATAGCTATTTGAGGATTCAGTTATTTGACTTCTGATAATATTGTTATTGTTGAGGACTTACTAGGAGGTGAGCATGATGGCTCACACTTGCAGTCCTAGCATTGGAGAGCAAGGCAGGAGAATAATAAGTTCAAGGTCATCCTCAGCTACATAGTGAAGCCAGATTGGGATACATGAAAGAAAGGAGATGTTATTGTTGTAACAGTTTTAACAGTGCCCATATAAAGCTCTGTGTATTAATTCTTATAGTCCCATTTTTTCCCCTCTATTTTAAAGTCAAAGAGACTGAGACACAGAGCATTTAAGGAACTTACCCTAGATCACCCTGCAAGCTAGAGGTGGAGCTGGGATAGGAACCAAAACAGTCTGATGACAGTTTGAGTTCTAAGCTTAGTTGCTCATCTACTGTTGTGCACTAATGAAAACTTGGTGGCTAGCTTCTGGATCCTTAGCCAGGAACAATTTGTAAGCCTGGAAACTTCTAGGGTTACCTGAAGCAGAGGCTGTGGTGTGGAAGGAAAAGCAAGCCTCTGGAAGGGAAACCTCAAAAAGCTTAGCTGCTCTGAGCTGAACTGGCCTTGGAGTGAGTTTGACAGAGTGTAGTTAATGCATGCAGAGGCTAACAGTTGTGATATTGAGATGTGGCCACCAGGAGGCAGCAAAAAGTTGGTCTCCTTTCAGGAGAAGGGTTGGGATCCCCTCTCATGATGGACTTTGTATTTCAGGGCTGACTCGCTTTGACCTGCTGGGTGACTTTGGACGCTTCAACTGGCTAGGCAATTTTTACATTGTGTTCCTCTACAATGCAGCCTTTGCCGGCCTCACCACACTCTGTCTGGTGAAGACCTTTACCGCAGCTGTAAGGGCAGAGCTAATCCGAGCCTTTGGTAAGGGAGTGGGAGACATGGGCTGGTGGGGTAGTTATAATTCAGGGCCACTCTGAATGAGGAATCATCCCAGCAGGGCAGAGGGTGTACTTCCTGTTTGTGTGTAACCTATTTCATCTACCCATTTTTTGTACGGTGGTGGTCTTCATCCCTAGGGATCTGGATCTGTGTCCCACTTCTGACTGCCTGTCACCCCTTCTTCAGGGTTAGACAGACTACCACTGCCTGTCTCTGGTTTCCCCCGGGCATCTAGGAAGAATCAGCACCAGTGACCTCCAGCTGGGGGTTGGGAAGGAGAAAACTGGACACTGCCATCTGCTGCCTAGGCCTGGAGGCGAGCCCTAGAATGGTTGGACCTCAGGACTTGGAATCTGAGAGGGTGGGTGGCAGAAGGGAGTTGAGCCATCTGCACTGTTGTATAATCTGAGCCAGAGTTTGGGACCAGGCCTCCTGCTTTTTCAGTCTTCGCTGTGGCCTCAGCATGGGGTGGAGCTGGGTGACTGGCTCTAGTTCCTGGTCCCAAATACGTTTACACATCAATCTGCCTCAATCCTGTTCCAGGCCATGCCTGAATCCATGTTTACATGATTTGGTGTGCAATAGGGTGGGGTGGGAATGGGAGGGACTGGGCCAGGGGCAGGTCCAGGAGGCAGGTTTCTCCCTTGCCTCTGGCCCAGCAGAGCCTAAGAACTATGTTATCTTGGAGGGACTTTGGGTCACTGGTGAGACCAAAGGCACAGGGAGGAAGAGGCTGTACCCGTCAGCAATAAAATTGATCCCAGGGTTTGCTTTGGTTTTTTAAAGAGCCTGTCTCTGTGCCTATTTGACTCCATACCTTGGAAATTGGGGTAGAAGGGCATGGGCGAAAGTGTAAGATACCATCTTCTACCTCCAGACCTTCGGCTGTGAAAGTAAAAGAAGTGACTGGCTGACAATAGTTTTTGATTCCTACCTGGGAGAAGAACCTAACATCACTTTTGTAAGGGCTGTCAGTTCCCTGAAGTCCTGCTATGCTGAGGGAAGGAACAAACTTTTTGTAGGTTTATAGAGATTGTACATTGCATTACTCAAAAGCCACCATTTGTCTCATAGTCACGTATAATTAACCTTTAAGAGTTTTTTTTTTTTATTATGTTTGTGGTGGGGAGCACCAAGGTGCATATGTGGAGGTCAAAGGACAGCTTGAATGAATCAGTTCTTTCCTACTGCTTGAGTCCTGGGTATCAAACTCAATAAATGCCTTTACCCTATGAGCCATCTCAACGGCCCTACTGACCTCTCGTGTTTCAGCCTGGGTGGCTTGTGAGGGAGAGGTGTCAAACCCGGGCCTTGGACATGTTAAGCAGTTGCTCTTTCACTGCGCTACATTCTCATCCCATGATCATTTTCTTGTAAATGGAAGCTAGATGTCTTGAGAAAGGGTTTTTGTTGTTTTCTCTCCTAATGTGTACAAAGTTACTCTGAGTGTTAGCCTTGGAACTGGGAGAGGGGGTGCTAAGTGTAGAATACAAAAAAGTATAGATTCCATAAATACTTGCTAAGCACCTTACTGTAAGCTAGCCGGCCTTGGAAATTCTTGATAAACAGCTCATGCTGAAGAATTGCTTTGTCTACAAGGGTGTGAGACAATTCTAATATTGTAGTGCCATTGCAGTTAATTTCTGCCTTACAAGGGAACATAGGCCAAATTGTCAGGACACTAGGGAAGGCTTCTTAGAGGAAGTATTTTTGTTTGTTTGTTTGTTTGTTTTACATTTATGTATGTGCACTCTCCAGTGAGTGCACCATAATGAGAATATGGAGGTGAGAAGAAACTTGGGTTGGCTGTCTCTTTTCCACTACATGGGTTCTGAGGATTAAACTCTGGTTGTCAGGCTTGGTGGCAAGCTCCTTTACTAGGTGAGCCATCTCTCCAGCCCCCTGTTAAAATTTTTAATTGACTTTTTGGGATCTTTTGAGGCTGACCTCAAACTTGGTATATAGCCAAGCATGACCTTGAACTCCTAATCCTCCTGCTTCTGTCTTCAGGTGCCACTTTGTGTTTGCTACTATATTCGTTCCATACAGAGGAACTGATTTATAAATGAGGGATTGGTGGGTGAGATGAAACCTGAGGAATTTGAAATAGTCCCAAGTCTAGAGGGAGAATAGAGAGGAGGGATGGTGAAGAGAAGTGATTCGTTAGCTGCTTGCAGACTAGAACTTTCCATGCCCACTGACAGAGCAGCTTCCAAATGAGAAATTATGTATTCAGAAATAACTGTACAGTATGTGGTGGCTCATGCATATAATTCTAGCAACTCAGAATTTCAGGGCTATCCACCACTACACAGCAAGTTTAGGTCAAGCTGGCTACATGAGACTGTCTCAAAAAGAAATTAGGCATAATATATATATATATATATATATATTATGGGGATATATATATAGCATGGGGATATGTATGTATATATATTTATACATGCATATATATGTATATATCTCAGTTGATAAAGTGTTTGTCTAGCATGCTCAAAGCCCTGGGTTTGATCCCCAGCACTACATAAACCTGGTGTGGTGGTACATGCCTGCAATCTTGGCACTGGGGAAGGTGGAGGCAAAAAGATTAGAAGTTCAAGGTCAGCCTTGTCTGTGAAATGAGTTTAAGGCTAAGCCTGGGCTATATGAACCAAGGAGTGAAAAAAAAAAGTGACCCATGGATGTCTGGCAAGAATTGAGAGGGCACAAAAGAAAGTCCTGGGCTGGCAAGATGGCTCAGTGGGAAAAAGCAGTTACCATGCAGGCCTAATGACTTGAGTCCAGTCCCTGGAACCCACCGTAGAAGGAGAGAACCAACTCCCAAAAGTTGTCCCCTGACCTCCACAGCCATGCTGTGGTATATGCCTGCCAGTTCACACACACCATAAATCTAAAAAATAAACTGGAAGCCTTAAACTGGATTGTAAGTATCAGACTGGCCAGGTATGGTGATGCATGCCTTTAATCCCAGCACTTGGGAGGCAGAGAAAGGCTGATGGCTCTGTGAGATCGAGGCCAGCCTGGTGTACATAGCTAGTTCCAGGTCAGCTGAGGATACAGGGAGACCTGTCTCAAAAAGACCAAAAAACAAAACTAAGTATCAAACTGTTCCCAGAAGACCAAGGAAAATGGTCCCCTGGTCTTTGTTATGGATGAGTGTGAAGAGAGAAATCAGGGAGATTGGGGGAGGAACACAAAGAAGGGAGGCTTTGGTTGTATGCCCAAAGGGCTTCTATGGCCTTGAGCAGAAATTGGAACTCATACTTCCTGGATGACAGCGGATGGCATGGCCTGCCAGAGTAGGCTTTGGGAGAGCAAAGACAAGCATCAGAGGAAGATGGTTTGGTTCCAAATTTAGGCTTGGAGGTTGAAGAATGCTTATCCAAGCAACCAAGGACTGTAAAGCTACAAGGATTTCCTAAGCAGGTGCCTGCATGGTTTCCAGGATGGGACACACTTCAGTGGAGAAATGGAACAGTGGTGACCAGCTAGATCACCCGCCCCGGGTGGGAGGGGGCGGGACAGTCCTGAAAGAAGGGCGGGGGGCGGGGCCAGGGGCCACTTAAGGCGGAGTCTGGGCGTTCTGGAAGCACCGGAGCCGGGTGGTGGAGACTGGCAGGGCTGGCCCTCGCCCTCGACCCACCTGCTCTGATATGATGGTCCATCAATAGAGGGTTCTAGGTTCCCCGGGACATGTAGGCGGAGTTAGCGGCTGCCAGGTGTGCAGAGCCTCAAGAGCTTCAGGTACTCTGGGGGCAGCTCTGCCTGAGGCGCTCTCGGCGCATATGACGATGCCCAACTGACAGGAGAGCTAGTGAGGACCAGAACGCGCCCTTTCGGCTCAAGCCCACTGCACCCATGGCTCTACCGGCCAGTCTGTTGCCCCTGTGCTGTCTGGCACTTTTGGCACTGTCTGTCCAGAGCTGCGGGCCGGGCCGGGGACCGGTTGGTCGGCGGCGTTATGTGCGCAAGCAGCTTGTGCCACTGCTCTACAAACAGTCTGTGCCTAGCGTGCCGGAGCGGACCCTGGGCGCTAGTGGGCCAGCGGAGGGGAGGGTGGCAAGGGGCTCCGAACGTTTCCGAGACCTCGTGCCCAACTACAACCCCGACATTATCTTCAAGGATGAGGAGAACAGTGGCGCCGACCGCCTGATGACAGAGGTAAGGATTGCTTCTTCCCACCTGCGCTCGGGCACACCACCAACTCGTGATGAGCCCATTTCATCACCAGGACCCTTAGTTCCCCCCCCCCAAAAAAAAAGAAAGAAAAAAGGAAGAAGAAGGCGAGCTCTGCCATCACATCCCCCAAGAAAGCTGTAACCCGCTGGCGGGGCAGAGGCTCCGAGGAATCCCAACCGGGAGAGGTTGGGATGGGGAGGGGGAGGAGGAACTGGCTAGTGAGAGTGAAGCTGAGAGAGGCTAGAGGGAGGGCGGGGAAAGGAGGGTGGCGGCAGGCGAGACGGGAAATGGCTGAGGCGTGGACCGGGGGTCAGCCACCGAGCCAGGCAGGAAGGGCTGGGGTGAGCTGGGGGCCAGAAGCAGGCTGGGTTAGGTAGCCTACAGAAGGCTTTACCCTTAGCCTGGCTCCCGGCCTAATGTGGAAAAGCCCTATGGGAGGAAAAGAAGAGGCAGGATGGGGAAAAAGGTTATCAGGGCATCTACCTGAGAATGGGGTGCAAGGAATTGTTCTTGGTGTGGGAGAGGGGTTCTAGAACCAGGCCAGGCCTGTGCTAGGCTTTAAATAACAGTCTGGGTAAAAAGTAGTCCTCAGAGCAGATGGGTCCACCTGAGGGTCAAAGGGGTCTTGGGTCTTCCAACCTCAGCTTGGCTCAGGGACTTTACTTTGAATTAAATAATTAAATTCAACTACTATATCGAGCACCTGTTGCAAACGGGGGACCTGAACCTACCTGGAGTGAGGTGGGTCATGCCTTGTAAAAGGACCACCTCTGGTGAGTATTCTGGGATGTCAGAACTGAAAGGGAATTTGGGAGACACATTTCTCCACCCCATCCCTCACTTTACATCAGAGAGCTGGGTCCCAGGAGGAAAAAGCAATTTAATCAAAGTCTCACAGCTAATTGGTAACATTTCTGGGACTTCTGATCCTGAGTCCTATATAGTTTCCATTACACCACCTAATTGTGTATAGTGGGGAGGTGGGGGAGAGGGAGGGGCACGGATTTCCTCTGATTAACTGCTATAGTTTTCCAGGTTACTTTGTTAGGAAAACCTGTCCAGGGGGGAGAAAGAATTCTTTTTTTTTTTTTTTTTTTTCCTTCATGTTCCTTAGATGAAGCCATTCTCCTTCCTAGAAATTGGGAAGGGGCATTCCTTTTTCCTCCCCAGTCTTGGAGCACTGTGGCCCTTACCTCTGTGGAAATCTGCAGCAGAAGGGACGGAACAAGGGACAGGCTCAGGGGCGCCTCCAAAAGGCCTGGGAATCCCCTCAGCCTTACTTATCTCCTACACCCTGCTTGCAAAAGGGCTCCATTGAGTTAGCTCTGTACTGGGCTGCTGCCCCCGCAGGTCAGGGCCTGCTTAGGGGACAAAACGGCGAGAAGTTGGAAAGAACTACCGGGTTTCCTGCACCCCTCAGCCCTGCCGAGGTGAAAATGACTAGAAAAAAATGCCCCCCAGCTGTGAGGTAGAGTCCAAGTCCCGGGTGAGGAATGTAGAGAGGGAGTTCTGTACGGCGCTCCTCTCGCAGGGTCCCAGCTATAGTGCGTGCCAAGGTCTCCAACTCCCAGGCTGGAGCGCTAAGATAACTGTGGCCTCCCTCCCCCGTGGGCAAGCCTGCGGCAGCAGCTTCTTTTCCTCCACTCGCACCCGGCAGCCCCCACCCCCCCACCCCAGATCCGCGGTTGGGCAGCGCCTGTTATTCTCAGGTGCTGCTGCTCCCACGCCTTTCTTGGCTGACTGTGGAAAAGAGAAGGAGAGACAGACGCACTTAGGACTGACACAACCTTAGTTGGAACTGGGTTGACTGGCCACGCTGGGGGAGGGGACCTGGCCGGCCGCAGCAGGGACTGGGGGCGCGGTCTTCTGCCCTTTCCTCTCCCGGAGCCGGGGTGGCTGAAAAGGGTCTTTGTGGCTGGAGCTGCTGAGTCCGCTTCTCCCGACGCGTTCCCGGCCTCGGCCCGGGATTCTCGCTCAGTTAAGTCATCCCGGAGAATGGCCATTGTACTTCGCGCAGCCCCCGCCACCCGACCCTTATTCCAGCAGCCTTGATCCCACGCGGCTCCTCTTGGGCACCTCTGTAGGGGCCACCCAAACCACGAAGGGGTTAATGCTAGAGGCTGAAAGGAGGAGGAGGAAGGAAGGGAGGAAGGAAGGAAGGAAGGAAGGAAGCGATGCCCAGTGCCAGGGAAGGCAACGAAACAAAAGATGAATCAGATCGAGGGAGGGCAGCCGGAGCCTGGGGCGGGGGTCAGGCTCAAACTGGGCTCGCTTGGGGAGCCAGGCCCTCCCTAACCAAACTTCCACCCTCCCTCTCTGATTGACATGAGGTCCTGGAACAAATACCGGTGAGAGGCAGGCACTGAAAATGGGGAAGTAGTTAGGCGTGGGTACTCAGAGGGGTCATCCCAAGCTTCTCCAAGCCCGTCCTGGCAAGGGAGTAGATTGGCAACTACACCTGTTCAGATCCTCCCCCAGGATACTCAAAAGGGACTGAAATGGGTCTGGAGAACAAAGACGCACTGACACCTTAATGGTCCGCTTTTCAGTCCCCCCTCCCCCGCCACGCCCGCTGGGTGCTGGTAGTTGGGAAACTGGCTCCTTTATTCCCCACCAGCGTTGCAAAGAGCGAGTGAACGCTCTAGCCATTGCGGTGATGAACATGTGGCCCGGAGTGCGACTACGGGTAACTGAAGGCTGGGACGAGGATGGCCACCACGCTCAGGACTCGCTCCACTATGAAGGCCGCGCCTTGGACATCACCACGTCTGACCGTGACCGCAATAAGTATGGTTTGCTGGCGCGCCTGGCAGTGGAAGCTGGCTTCGACTGGGTTTACTACGAGTCCCGCAACCACGTCCATGTGTCGGTCAAAGCTGGTACAGTAGAGGGCAGATCGTGGTCCACTCAAAGGGGACTTTCTCGGGGAAACTGAGTCTACCATAACCCTCTTGCCACCCTAAGGGAGACCAGGAGGACATTAGTGTTGTAATCCGTGAGAAATTGAACTCTCGGGGACTGGTGGAGGTCTGCGTTGGGCTTGACTCACATCTGTACCAAGGTTCTGGAGACTCTGATCTTGATTTAATCCGGGTTATGGTTGTTTCCTGCAGATAACTCACTGGCAGTCCGAGCCGGCGGCTGCTTTCCGGGGAATGCCACGGTGCGCCTGCGGAGCGGCGAGCGGAAGGGCCTGCGGGAACTGCACGGCGGAGACTGGGTGCTGGCCGCGGATGCTGCTGGCCGGGTGGTGCCCACTCCGGTGCTGCTCTTCCTGGACCGGGACCTGCAGCGCCGCGCCTGGTTCGTGGCTGTGGAGACCGAGCGGCCTCCACGCAAACTGTTGCTCACGCCCTGGCACCTGGTGTTCGCCGCTCGGGGGCCGGCGCCGGCTCCGGGTGACTTCGCTCCGGTGTTTGCGCGCCGGTTACGCGCCGGGGACTCAGTGCTGGCACCGGGTGGGGATGCGCTTCGGCCGGCGCGCGTATCCCGAGTGGCGCGGGAGGAAGCGGTGGGCGTGTTCGCACCGCTCACCGCGCACGGAACGCTGCTGGTCAACGACGTCCTCGCCTCCTGCTACGCGGTGCTGGAGAGTCACCAGTGGGCTCACCGCGCCTTTGCTCCCTTGCGCCTGCTGCATGCGCTGGGGGCGCTGCTCCCGGGTGGTGCAGCCCAGCCGACCGGCATGCATTGGTACTCTCGTCTTCTTTATCGCTTGGCGGAGGAGCTGATGGGCTAAGCGTCCAAGTATAGAAGTCCTCCAGGCTTCGGACAACCGAGACACGCTAGCTGAGATCTGGGAATGTGGGCAGCAGGTGATGCTGATTGGGAGGGTGGGAGGGAAAGACAGAAAAGTGGGCTATGCTGGAACTTCTTGGCTTAGGGACAACTTTTAGCCGAGAGGAGTGATCCCTGGTCCTTGATAACGAGTTTGCTGGTAGGCACACTTTAAAGAGGACTGTTTAGTGTCTTCCCCAGTGCCTCAGTCCCACCCGATAATTTTATTTTATTTACTATTTATAAATTGTAATATAATGATCTGCTTGCCACCAAGGTGAGGGCCTGGGATGTGGTATTAACACTGACAGACAGCCAATCTGACCTCTCACATTTTCCTGCAGGTGGGTTAATAAAGGGAAGACTTATTGGAAACCACCTTCATTCAGAGGGTGATTCACCTCCAGAGAGGAGGATAAAGGGGACCAAGCGGAGTCAACAACTTCCAACTTTCACTCTTTCCTCAGCAGGATCTTTGGGACCCTTGTGCCTGAAAGGCTATTCGAACTCATCAGCAATAGAGACTAGAAAAGTCATTCCCTTCATTAGGCACTGGTCCCACCCCCACCCGGGACCAGGTACTTATGAACTCTGCTTATGAGGTTGCATACTGAATTGAGGGAAGGTTGCTAGGGAGCAGGAAGACTTATGTCTCTTCTACAAGGGACAGGCTACTGTAGGCAATGATACTCAAAATTGTTAGCTATTTGTGGCCCATCCCCATAGGCTATGAATCAGCCTGGTCATCATCCTTACCTTGCCCACAGGGTCTGAAAGGGGGTTTTTTTTGGTGTTTTTGTTTTGTTTTGTTTTTCTGGGATTTTGCTAGGCCAGCTGATGAACTGTCAGAATTTCTTATACTCCACAGACGTTTGTGGCCTAAAGAAAGAACCTGGGCCAGGAGTAGTGGTGCACACCTTTAATCCTAGCACACAGGAGACAGAGGCAGGCAGATGGTGAGTTTGAGGCTTGCCTGGTCTACATACAGAGTTCCAGGACAGCATGAGCCATATAGTGAGACTGTTTCATAAAAAGAAAGAAAAAAGGAAAGAAGGAAAAAACCCACCCACCCAACCCTTTTTCCAGCAGCCTTGATCCCATGCGGCTCCTCTGTAGGGGCCACCCAAACCACTAACAGGAGTAATCAGGTGCCACCACATACATGCCTATAATCCCAGCATACATGCCTATAATCCCACATACATGCCTATAATCCCAGCACCCTGGAGACACAGTAAAACAGGAAGATAATGAGTGAAAGGCCAACTTGGGTTGCAAAGCAAGACTGTCAGAAGTGGTGGCAGAGGGACACACTCAAAAGAGGGAAACCTGAATGCTTTGCTCTCTGATGGATTGTAGAGAACAGGTTTTGACTGGGTAAGGGAAACGGGCTCTTCAGACAAGCTCAAGTATTACAACTTGAGCTTCCTCCTTCCCACCCTGGTGGCTATCTCTCTGGGCTTCTTCCATCACCATCTTCCCTCGTCTACTATGAGTGCCTCTGCTTCCCTTGCCTGAGTGTTTCTGGAATCTTTGGGTTCCAGCATGGTAGACATCTGAAATCCAGGTGGGTGGGTGTCCCTGGGTTAGAAGTAGACAAGTGGGACCGCTCTGGAAATAAGAGTGTGTAGGTTCCTGGGAACAGTCAGGAGTGATTGGTACTTCCTTGGACTGGGCCCAAGCCTATTACAGCTATCTTGCTAGGGAGATTGGTCCTCTGAGCACCGGGCCAACAAAGTTCATGCTATATGCTGCCCTCTGGTGGTATTCAGGAGAATTCTAAGCCTAAAGAATTCTTTTTCCAGACAAAAGAAAAGCAATGGATAAGTGCAGTGCTCCAAGGAGCCCTGTGCCAGGAGGCTGAAATGACAGTGAGGCTTGTTAGGCTTCCAGTGCCACGGTGTCAGGAGCTTGTGAAGAGCCCGCTCGCTTCCTTTTGAGAAAGACTTTTCAAACCTTGACTTTTTTTTTTTTTTCCCAACCATTTTTTTTTTCTTTTTTTTTTTTTTTGGTCTTTTTGAGACAGGGTCTCCCTGTAACCCCAGCTGTCCTGGAACTATGTAGGCCAGGCTGGCCTTGAACTCACAGAGATACGCCTGCCTCTGCCTCCCAAGTGCTGGGATTAAAGGTGTGCGCCACCACGCCCTGCAATCCAACCTTTTTTCAACCCTTGTTCTTAGTTTAACTTTGTAGATCTAGGAAGCTGGAGGTACACTGGTAGAAAACCTGCAAAGATGCAGAACTCCATACATGTTGAAGTTGTTCCTCCATGTTCCTCACCCTGATGTGCCTTGTGGTTCAGGAGGTGAAAATAAATAGAGCTCCAAATACTGCTTGATAAAGGACACATGTGTCCTGTCCTTCCACTCACTAATGTCCTCAATCTACTCCTAATACCTGTTCCCACCCTCCTTTCTCCTGGCCTCAGAAACGTCCCAAGCTGTGGTTATCTACCTTTTTTTCTCCCTCCCTCCCTCCCCCTTTCTCCTTCCTTCCCT